ATGCGAAGTAGCTACGACACAAGATTTCTTGTGGCATTCACTATGGTGCTGACCACTGTGGAACACCGCTTTTGGGATCGGGAAACAAGCACTGACATTACATTGTGATGCACGTCTGGGATGACGAGCAGTGGCTGCAGAACTTTTGCATGAGGAAAGCCACATTCATGGGACTGTGTGAAGAGCTTGCACCAGCCCTGTGGTGCAAGGACACAAGAATGAGAGCTGCCCTGCCGTTGGAGAAGCGCTTGGTGATTGCACTGTGGAAGCTGGCTACTCCAGACTCCTACTGATGGGTCGCTAACCAGTTCGGAGTGGGAAAGTCGAGCATTGGGCTCGTGTTGATGGAAGTGTGCAGGGCCATTAATCGCAACCAGCTCCGAAAGACCATGACTCTGGGCAACATGCGTGAGATTGTGGATGGCTTTGCACAAATGGGCTTCCCTAACTGCGGAGGGGTGATAGATGGCACACACATTCCAATTCTGGCACCAGACCACCTAGCCAACGAGTACATTAATCACAAGATGTATTTCTCAGTGGTTCTCCAGGCGCTTGTGGATCACCGTAAGCGTTTCACAGACATTAACACAGGCTGGTCCGGAAAAGTGCATGATGCACGCATCTTTCATAACACTGGCCTGTTCAAGAAGCTGCAAGCAGGGACTTTCTTCCCAGACCAGAAGATCACCATGGGGGAAGTTGAAATGCCCACTGTGATCCTGGGAGACTCCACCTACCGCTTAATGCCGTGGCTCATGAAGCCATACACGGGGCAACTTGACAGCAGCAAGGAGCAGTTCAACAACAGGCTGAGCAAAATGCAGAATGACTGGAGTGTGCATTCGGCCATTTAAAAGCCTGCTGGCGATGCCTGTATGGGAAACTGGACATGGCCGATGATAATATTCCTATGCTTATAGCCGCATGCTGTGCACACCATAATATTTGTGAAGGGAAGGGTGAAAGGTTCACTCAGGGCTGGACAGCAGAGACTCAGCACCTGGAGGCTGAGTTTGAACAGCCAGAGACCAGGGCTATTAGAGGGGCACAGCGTGGGGCCATAAGGATCAGGGATGCTTTGAGGCAGCAATTTGAAGCTGAAAGCCATTAATATTTGTTGCTGTGCTCGGGATTGCAATGCTTGTAATGCTACGAGGTGATTGTTGCACATGATGCAAGAAGGGGCCTTAACATAGCTGTACATATGTTGCCTTGCAGTGCTCTTTTTGCTTTCACTTAATAGAATAAAGATTGCTTTCAAACAAACACAATTATTTTATTGAAAGACAACAACCAGAGGAGAGAGTCAAACGAAAAAATTAATCAGCAGGTAGGGGGATGGGGGGGAGGGAATGGGGGAATGGAAGGTTTCAAGAGGAGGAGGGGTCCCGGGACGGCTATAGATTTATGTATGTCTAGGGATCATACCCAACCTTCTCCTTTGGAGTACGATGCAGCGGGTGCTGTACTTCAGCAGGGCCAAACTACAGATGGATGGGTGTTGAGTGCAGTAGGCATTGGGAGTGAGGAGGGAGGAGTGGAATACTGCGGGTAGAGAGTAGAGCCAGGAGGTTGATAAGAGTATATTGGCGGGCGGAGCATGGGAAAGTTTTTTGCGACAGCGGCTGCAGGGGAGAGCAGGTGCAGAGCTGCTTGGTTTGAAGAGCTAGTATCTCCCTGGAGCATGTCCACTTGGTGCTCCATAACTGTTAAGAGCCGCTCCGTGGCTTCTTTCTGGTGTGCCGCGTTTGCCTTTTGTTCCCTCTTCTTGCTGTCCCGCCACTCCTTCAATTCCTTTTTCTCGGCGGCGGACTGTATCATAACCTCATACATAAAGTCCTCCTTAGTCCTTCTTAGCTGCTTTCGAATTCTTCACAACCATTCTGCCGCCAATAAGGGAGGCTGGCCTCCCACGGTCATCTCTGTGAAGTTCAAATGCAACCTTTTACAGAAGCAGTATTGTTTGCAACACAGACAACACTTTTTCAGTGCTTTAAAACACAGCTGACACTAACTGGCTGACTCCAGGCAAGCACACACAAGCCACAAGACCTCCAAAATGGTGAATAGCCACAGGGGCAAAGTAAATCACTGTTCCCGGACCCTGCTGTACACTAGGCACATGGCTCTTGGGCACTTGGGGAGAGCCAGCACTGTGGCAGGAGGGAGGGGGGCTGATAATCATTCCTGTCCCCACACTTTCCACAGGAGATTATCATTTTGGAAGATATCTCACTGTTGAGGGTGAGCAGGGAATCAAGGAAGGGTGTTCTCCAGGCCTGCAGCTTCCAACCTGGTCCCTATGCAGCTAGCCTGTGTGCAGCTATGGTCTCCCCCATCCGCTCCCCATGACGGCACAGTGGTGGGGGAAAGTTACTGTTGATGGGGCAAGAAACAAAGCAGCTCTGCCGAGGAACCAGCGGGAGCGGATTGCCCAGTATCTCCACAAGAGTTTCCTGGAGATCTCTGAGGGAGATTCCCATGAAGTGAGGGAGTGTATCAACAGCCGCTCAAACTAGGCATGATGTGGGAGACAAGCCTGCTTTCTGCAGCTTCCTGCCCCCAACAACTCTCTTCCGCAATTTCCAAAACCAGATCCACTTACCAGGGCCTCCTCTCCTGTTTCTGCTTCGCTAATATCCGCCTGCTGTGACTGGTGTGACAGGGTCGGGCCAGAGGGCTACAGGACAGTAATAGAAGGCAGATATATTAGCCCCAGGTTAAGGAGGTCCCTTTTCCCTGGGTAAGGGAACAGAGAAGGTTCCAGAACAATCAGGAACCTTCTGGAGACAATTAAGACAGACAGGCTGATTAGAACACCTGCAGCCAATCAAGAAGCTGCTAGAATCAATTAAGGCAGGCTAATCAGGGCACCTGGGTTTAAAAAGGAGTTCACTTCAGTTTATGGTGCGCGTGTAAGGAGCTGGGAGCAAGAGGCACTAGTAACTGAGAGTGAGAACGTATACTGTTGGATGACTGAGGAGTACAAGCATTATCAGTCACCAGGAGGAAGGTCCTATGGTGAGGATAAAGAAGGTGTTGGGAGGAGGCCATGGGGAAGTAGCCCAGGGAGTTGTAGCTGTCGCACAGCTGTTCCAGGAGGCACTCTAGACAGCTGCATTCCACAGGGCCCTGGGCTGGAACCCGGAGTAGAGGGCGGGCCCGGGTTCCCCCCAAACCTCCCAACTCCTGATCAGACACAGAAGGAGTCGACCTGGACTGTGGGTTCAGAAAAACGGCCAAGCTGAGGGCTGTCATGAAGCTCCAAGGTGAACAAATCCGCCAATAAGCGCAAGACCCACCAAGGTAGAGGAGGAAATTTGTCACACTGGCTAGACTCCTCCGGGGTAAAAAAGAGCTCCTGACTGCATGCATCTCTGGCCTCCGAGTCATCCTCTGCCTCTGGTTCCCCCTGCCCCTCTTCATCCAAAATTACCTCCTCCTGGCTCGGTCCACTCTCGACTGGCAATGAAGCCAATGAAGTATCCACAGGGGACTTCACAGTGGAGGTGGGATCACCACCGAGTATCGCGTCCAGCTCTTTGTAGAACAGGCAGCTCGTGGGCACAGCACCAGAGCAGCGGTTTGCCTCCCGCGCCTTGTGGTAGGCATTCCACAGCTCCTTCACTTTGACCCTGCACTGCAATGTGTCCTGATCATGGCCCTTTTCTATCATGCATCTAGACATGTGTCCATAGGTATCTGCACTGCCTCCTCTCCCCAAATACCGATGAGGTCCAGTAGCTTGGCATTGCTCTAAGCAGGGGATTACCTGGTGCATGGAGCAGGCATCGCCACCTGGAAAGATGCACTGAGACCACTGCATGCATCACAGAGCAAACAGGAAAGGGACTTTCAAATTTGCAAAGGAATGTATGGGGTGGGGCTGACGGTTGGTCACCTGAGGGCAGGGCAGTAGAGTTCAAACCGATGGCCAGAGAGGTGAGAACAGGCATTGTGGGACACCTCCCGGAGGTCAATCGCAGCGCTGTAATTGACCAGGGGGGTCTACACTGGCACCGCAGTGCTGTAGCCCCGGTGCAGAAAGCTCTACGCCTCTCATTGAGGTGGTTTTTTTAGAGCGCTGCAACTGTGCAGTTTCTGCGCACTAAGTGGCTTGGCAGTGTGTGCACCTCGGGAGTTACAGTGCTCAAAGCTGCTTTACTGCGCACAAACTTGCCAGTGTAGACAAGCCTTTAGATGCTTCTCTCCACAGTCTGGCTGGGTGCTCTTCAGCACCTTTGATCAGCGCTTCAGTCGCTTGGTGTGGTCTCCGTAGATGTAGGTGGAAGAGAGAGAGAAAGAGCATGGCAAAGGCAAAAAGGCAAATGTCTCTCCTTTTTATCATGTCCTTTCTTCCCTATTGGCTTAGTGCTGCCTTCAGAGTCAGGTGAGCATTACCTCATCGCAATGCCAAACTGATCAAAGGAAAGGAGGTGACTCCCTTGAGAGTCGAACAGATTCTTTTGTTGCTGTCTAGGTCAGCGTCCTTTGTTCCTGTGAGGCTGGGCTGGGTTTGTTCCATACACGTCCTGATGAGGTGTGAACTGCCTCTCAGCTCTTGTAGAGTTTTTGCATGGGCTTATTTTAAGCCACCAGGATACATTTTCAGCCTCATAACTATATACATGAAATTATAACCTATACCATAACTGTAACGACTACTATAACATCACTATAACAACCATACTCAGTGCATCATGAGCATTCCAAAGACACCCAACATGACAAACTTTATATTGGATACCACACAGTCATTTTACACAGATTGTTGCTTTTTACACAGATTGCTGGTTGTTCCCCTGAGGTACAGAGTGTCACACCCTACCCCAAATATTCTCTCCTGGAATTATGCTGGGGCAGGAGTGGAGGCTCCGTGCAGTGGAGCAGCCTGTCAGATGGCCGTGTTTTTGAGGGTGGGGCTGTCCTGTGACATGGCTTGGTGTCTGGCACGGTTACTGAGAATGCCTTTGACCCGTTGTCTCTTTCCCTCCTAGACGCCTCACCTGGTCAATCTGAATGAGGACCCCCTGATGTCTGAATGCCTTCTGTACTACATTAAGGATGGGATAACCAGGTGAGAGCATAGAATCATGTAGCACCAGTGTGTCTGCTGAAATGAACAGCATTGGACTCTGGTTGTCTGAGTGCAGGGCAGGCCCAGGGCATGGGATCCCCCTCTCCTCCTCATTCACTGCTGAACCAGGTGTCGGTGCTCTGTTGCTATCAAACTCAGGTCACTAGTGACAAAGAGACCTGATACTATGGAGGAATTGCAGCCCTGCCCTCTGCGTAGTCCCTGGGTCAGGCTGGACTTCCCAGAGAGGTGAACTGAAGGGGAATCTAATTGATGTGTTCCCATGGACTTAATGTGCTGTCCCGTGAAGGGGAGCTGGGCAGCGCTATCCCTGTGGAAGAATGTCCCATCCTGGGGATGGGCGAGGGCTGTCGTCTGCAGAAGCCCTGGCCCTACACTACTGGGTGGGCAGGGAGAGAGAGCAGATGCATATTCTAATTCCACCACTTGGAAGGGATGCATTAGCTGGTGTATACTGGCATGTGAAAAGTCACATTTCCCCATGACAGCTTCCAATTAAGATGTTTGCCTTGCTGCCCACTGAGGGTCTCCTGAGACCAGATCCAAAGCCCATTAAAATAGATGGAATGACCAGTGGGCTTTGGATCAGGCCCTTCAAGTGCGCTGCTGTAAACGGTCTGAAATCTGGTGTATTATTGCCAGGGAACCCTACTAAGTCTGTGTCTCCCCGCAGGGTCGGCCGAGAGGACGCGGAGAGGAGGCAGGACATCGTGCTGAGTGGACACTTCATTAAGGAAGAGCACTGCATTTTCCGCAGCCACACCAAGGCCGGTGGCGAAGGTACCCTCAGACAGAGAGCCTCACACGTCCACACTCTGTGCTTTCACCCCAGTTCAGTCACATACCTGGCTACCTGCAGCTCCTTCTTAGTGTTTGCAGTCAGGGCACCCGAGCTCCTACTTACATCCAGGAGGACTGGGGCACTAATGCCTGTCAAGAGGCATGGAGGAGGGCACCTTCTCTCTACCTACTTGTCAAGGTGGGGTGTGTGGGAGTGCAGCCTTGACAGGATGTGCTGTGATATCACCGCCTGTCTCCTGGGTTGGGTCATTCCCATTTCCTTCCTTGCACTCGTTGAAGCACAGTCAGACCAATCTCCTGGCTGTGCCATCTTCCCCGGTCACACCCCTTGAAAGGCAGCTAGCAGTGCAGAGCATTGGCAGGACACTGTTGCCTTCCATAGCCATGCCACTGGCAGAAGTGAAGGGAAGCATCTCTAGGGAATTGCGGCTGATATGCTAATAGAGGCCATTCTGTAAGGCAAATCAGGAAGTAGAGAAGATGGGTGTGAAAGAAAAGAGTGAGCTATGAAGGCTGATTCCCTTGCCGAAGACATTCTGTGTTATCTGAGGTCATCCCTCCTGCAGAATGGGCAGTTATTGTTAATGAGGCTTGCTCACAGGATGTGGGGGGTAAATCTCTGGGATTGATTTGTGGAAAGGCCAGAGACTCAGGCTCTGGTTTTTTCTTAATCCCGCCACAGTCTTTCAGAATGCGCTTTGTAGCTTCGATGGGAGCATGGTCTAACCCCTAGAATCAGTGATACACGTCACTGGCCAAGCAGAGTGAGGCCAAGCACTTAGCTCAGTGGCATTTTGCTGTTTGCAGTCTTGGGATGCACAGGGAAACATTTTGTTCATTTTGGTGACTGGCGACCAGACCTGATTTCCACCTTGTGCCCATTTGAAACTTAGGCAGTGGAGAGGTGGTGACATCAGAGGTAGCACAGCCAGTCATAACTTTGTCCCTCTAGTTAATTTGCATACTTCAATCCCATGTGTTGAAATGAGTCAGCAAGTGAAACTGCAGGTCAGGATTCTGCTCTGCTTTGTCAGAGATGGGGGCTGGGGGCTCAGGACTGGAATAGTGGGGACTGCTTCAGGACAGGAGCTGTGTTGGTTGAGTAGGAGTGAGGCTGGAGATTTGAACTGTGGCTCCCGCTACACTATGGCTGGCCAGGGGTGCAGGAACAATTGGTGTAGTGAGGATGCTGACAGTCATTGAACCAAACTGTAATATAATGGAAACCACTTCAAGACGGGGGGTGCGGTGCACCCCCACCATGTTCCCTCTAATTTTTTCTATCCATGGGCAAAATGAATTTTGTTATGTGCACCATATTGAGGTAATGTGGGGATGTGCGCCAGCAGTAGAAACAAAAAACCTAGATATTTATAAAAAGAAAAGGAGTACTTATGGCACCTTAGTGACTAACCAATTTATTTGAGCATAAGCTTTCGTGAGCTACAGCTCACTTCATCGGATGCATACTGTGGAAAGTGTAGAAGATCTTTTTATATACACACAAAGCATGAAAAAATACCTCCTCCCACCCCACTCTCCTGCTGGTAATAGCTTATCTAAAGTGATCACTCTCCTTACAATGTGTATGATAATCAAGTTGGGCCATTTCCAGCACAAATCCAGGTTTTCTCACCCCTCCCCACCCCCCCACCCCCACACACAAACCCACTCTCCTGCTGGTAATAGCTTATCTAAAGTGACCACTCTCCTTACAATGTGTATGATAATCAAAGTGGGCCATTTCCAGCACAAATCCAGGGTTTAACAAGAATGTCTGAGGAGGGGTGGGAGTAGGAAAAAACAAGGGGAAATAGGTTACCTTGCATAATGACTTAGCCACTCCCAGTCTCTATTCAAGCCTAAGTTAATTGTATCCAATTTGCAAAAGAATTCCAATTCAACAGTTTCTGGCTGGAGTCTGGATTTGAAAGTTTTTTGTTGTAATATCGCAACTTTCATGTTTGTAATCGCGTGACCAGAGAGATTGAAGTGTTCTCTGGCTGGTTTATGAATGTTATAATTCTTGACATCTGATTTGTGTCCATTTATTCTTGTATGTAGAGACTGTCCAGTTTGACCAATGTACATGGCAGAGGGGCATTGCTGGCACATGATGGCATATATCACATTGGTGGATGTGCAGGTGAATGAGCCTCTGATAGTGTGGCTGATGTTATTAGGCCCTGTGATGGTGTCCCCTGAATAGATATGTGGGCACAGTTGGCAACGGGCTTTGTTGCAAGGATAGGTTCCTGGGTTAGTGGTTCTGTTGTGTGGTATGTGGTTGCTGGTGAGTATTTGCTTCAGGTTTGGGGGCTGTCTGTAGGCAAGAACTGGCCTGTCTCCCAAGATTTGTGAGAACACCCCTCCAACGCATTATTAAGGATCTACAACCTATCCTGAAGGATGACCCAACACTCTCACAAATCTTGGGAGACAGGCCAGTCCTTGCCTGAAACTGTTGAATTGGAATTCATTTGCAAATTGGATACAATTAACTTAGGCTTGAATAACTTAGGCTGCACAGCCTCAAGGACTCGCGAGCTACGCTTAAGTCGCTGGGTATGCGCACCCCGGCGACCCAGAGGAAGCCCCTTAAGCCACAGCCTCCCCCTCAACGCCAGTACCAGCCTCGCCATAGGTATGAGCCTAACCGTAGGCGAGGCAGGGATCACAGGCGACGGCGCAACAACAACAATAATGCACCGGCCCAGAAACAAGGCCAGCACAAACCCCAGCTGGGCAGTATGCCAGACTTTTGAAGATGCGCTCGAAGACAGCGTACCAGAGCAGTCACCGGAACCGTCCCTTTGTTTCCTGAACTGCCTGCCCTGTTTCTCCCGTGCGTGGTCCACCATAACCTCAGACCTTTGGGTCTTACGCACGGTGCAGAACAGGTACTCACTGCAGTTTGCCTCCCTCTCCCCCCCACCCCTCTTTCCTGTCCCTCTTCAGGGACCCCTCTCACCAGCATCTCCTAGAGAAGGAAGTCCGCTTGCTGCTAGAGGCAGGGGTGGTAGAGGCGGTGCCGCACAGCCTAAGGGGGAAAGGGTTCTACTCCCGGTACTTCCTCATCCCCAAGGCCAAAAGGGGCCTTTGTCCCATTTTAGTCCTGCACGGGCTCAACAAGTTCCGGGTCAAGGCCCGGTTCTGCATGGTCTCTCTGGGCACCATCATCCCTTCCCTGGATCCGGGGGACTGGTTCGCTGCCCTCGACATGAAGGACATGGACTTCCATATCACCATCCACCCAGCACGTCGGAGGTTCCTACACTTCACCGTGGGCCAAGAACATTACCAGTTTGCAGTTCTCCCATTTGGTTAGGCCGCAGCCCCAGGGGTATTCACGAAGTGCATGGCGGTGGTGGCAGCCTTCTTACGGAGGCAGAGAATCCGCGTGTACCCGTACCTAGACGACTGGCTCCTGGCGGGCCGATCTGAGGCGGAAGTGTGGGGCCATGTGGCAGATTGTTCCGCGAGCTGGGGCTCCTGGTCAACGTCCCCAAGTCCATGCTCGTACCCACGCAGAGAGTGGAATTCATAGGGGCGGTCCTGGAAGCAGTGGAGGCCAGAACAAGCTTTCCAGTATCCCAATTCCGGGCTATCCAGCAAGCTGTGGCCTCCCTGCACCAGTTTCCAATGACAACGGCCAGGTGCTGCCTGCGGCTGCTGGGCCACATGGCAGCATGCACACACATGGTCAGGCATGCCAGACTGAGACTCAGGACTCTGCAGGCGTGGCTTGCTCGTGTGTACCGCCCAGGCAGGGACCCCTGGACTTGGTAGTGACAGCCCCAAGGGACGTGCTGGACTCCCTGCTGTGGTGGCAGTCCCAGCCTGTGGTTTGCGAAGGCATCCCCTTTGCCGCCCCACAACCGGACCTGACGGTGGTGACGGACGCGTCAGAACACGGATGGAGGGCTCACCTGGGGGACCTCAGGACTCAGGGCTTGTGGTCTGGAGCAGAGCGGTCGCTCCATATCAATGTGAAGGAGCTCAGGGAGGTTCGTCTCTCCTGCCAGACCTTTCACGCCACTCTGAGTGGTCACTACTGCCATGTTTTATATAAACAGACAGGGCGGGGCTCGTTCCTCGCCACTCTGTCACGAGGCTCTCCTCCTCTGGGACTTTTGCATAGCCCATGCAATTCATCTCGAGGCGTCCTATCTCCCGGGGGTACAAAACGAGCTGGTGGACTCCCTCAGCAGGTCATACCGCATGCACGAGTGGACGCTCAGGGTGGACGTCATGCTTTCACTCTTCTGAAGGTGGGGGTTTCCCCAAGTAGACCTGTTTGCCACCAGGGCCAACGCCCAGTGCCCATGGTTCTGCTCATTCCAGGGCCGCAGCCCAGGCTCTCTCGCGGACGCATTTGCGATCCCATGGAGAGGGGGCTTGAGGTATGCTTTTCCCCTGCTCCCCTTAGTACACAAGGTCCTGCTTAAGGTACTCAGGAACAGGGCAGCGATGATCCTCATCGCCCCAGCCTGGGCCCGTCAGCACTGGTACACATCGCTCCTAGAGCTTTTGGTGGAGGCCCCAGTAGTCCTGCCCCTACACTGGGACCTCATTACACAGGACGGTGGGCGGCTTCTCCACCCTCGCCTGCAGTCACTGCACCTGACAGCGTGGAGACTCTGTGGCTAAACGCCTTGGAGAGCCAGTGCTCCTTTCCCGTGCAGCAGATTCTGCTTGGCAGTAGGAAGCCCTCTACTATGACGACCTATATGGCCAAGTGGAAAAGGTTCTCGTGTTGGTGTGAACCCCGACAGGTGCGGCCATGGCAGGTCCCGGTGCAGGTCATCCTGGAGTGCCTCCTGCACCTCAAGCAGCAAGGACTAGCACCGTCCTCACTCAGAGTACACCTGGCGGCCATCTCTGCCTTCCATCCGGGGTTCTCGGGGGGCTCGGTGTTTTCCCACCCAATGGTGGGATGGTTCCTTAAAGGGTTGGAGAGGGTGTTTCTGTACTCCCACCCCCAGTCCCTCCATGGAACCTTAACCTGGTCCTCTCTAAACTCATGGGACCCCCTTTCAGGCCCCTCACTTCCTGTTCTCTTCTCCACCTTTCGTGGAAGGTGGCATTTCTGGTGACCATTACCTCGACCAGAAGGGTGTCCGAACTGATGGCCCTCACCTCTGAGCCACCGTTTTCAGTATTGCACCAGGGCAAGGTGCAGCTCCGACGGCACCCCAAGTTCCTCCCTAAGGTGGTCTCCCAATTCCATTTGGGCCAGGACATTTGTCTGCCGGTGTTCTTCCCAAAACCTCATACGGACCTGAGTCACTGCAGCTTGCACACCCTGGATGTGCGTCAAGTGCTGGCATTCTATTTGGAGCACACCAAGCCCTTTTGTAAATCTACGCAGCTGTTTGTGGCTGTAGCCGAGAGGATGAAAGGCCTCCCAGTGTCGGCGCAGCGGATCTTGTCTTGGATTACAAGCTGCATCCGGACGTGCTATGAGCTTGCAGGTGTTCCGGCCCCGGCGGTCATGGCCAACTCGACCAGGGTGCATTCCTGGCACAGGTCCCGATCCAGAAGATCTGCAGACCAACCACCTGGTCCTCGGTGCACACCTTCATGACCCACTACGCGGTCAACCAGCAGGCCAGAGAGGACGAAGCAGTTGGCAGAGCGGTTCTCTGAGCAGTTGTTCCGTGACTCCTACCCTCCTCCAGAGGTAAGCTTGTGATTCACCTAATGTGGAATGGACGTGAACAAGCACTCAGAGAAGAAAAAACGGTTACTTACTTTCTCGTAACTGTTGTTCTTCGAGATGTGTTGTACACGTCCATTCTACCACCCACCCTCCTACCCCTCTGTCGGAGTCGCCACAAGAAGGAACCGGAGGGGGTCAGGCCAGCAGGGGTATATATGCACAGCTCACTTGGGGGGCCCCGCCAGCCCGATGGGAGCCGCTAAGGGAAAAAGTTTCCAACGCTCGTGCATGCAGCGCGCGCACAGCTAATGTGGAACAGACGTGAACAACACATCTCAAAGAACAACAGTTACGAGAAAGTAAGTAACTGCTTTTTCCTGCATCTATGTGCCTGAATCATTTCCCTTTGCCCAGTCAGAACGGTTGTAGTTCATGTAAACAGTGCTCATGTGGTGCGGCAGGCAGAGATTCCTTAGCCTGTTGCACCCAGTGGGCAGTCTCGAGAGGAGAGAAGACAGGCAGGCAGCAGGGTTCGGGTTCAGGTTACTGGTGGGTGTTGCCTCAGTGCTGTGAGGGGAGGTTGTTATTAATATAAAATTGATGACGCCAAGAAGACGGGCAGCCTGGCTGACTCAACATTATACAGGTTTGCTGGCAGTGTCCTTTAAAATCGCTACAGGTTTAGGGATAGAGACTGCTTTCCTACCCCTCTGCTCACCTGCAGCAGCAATGGGGTGGGCAACCCACTGGCATACAAAAGCAATGCATTGTTAAAAGCTGGAGTGGCCCAATCCCTCTTTCACCCTATCCAGGAATCTCCGTGCAGCCTAGCTTGCTGAAGAGGTCAGCAGGTGGCAGTACCACAATATAATAGTTCGGAGGTTACTTCTCACCGAGTGACTAGAGAACAAATAATACAACTCCCAGATCCCCAGGCGGTCCCTCTGTTACTCAGTGTCATGTGCTGTCCCCTCTTACACATGCTGTATAGTGCTTTGCTCTGTGAGCAGCCCCCGGGCTGTCTGTGGGACCAGTTGTGACGTGGGAGGAAGCGGGGCATGTTCTGGCTCTCGGTGATTAATGCTCAAAGACTGATGGCAGGTAGTTTGCAGTCTGCAGATCCAGGCTGGACTTTGGCATGGAAGAGACAAATCGTTAAATGCCAGTGAAATAATGGGGGTAAGAAGGTGGTGAAGGCCTGCCATGTGGGAACATAAGGAAATTAACCTGACATTTATAACTAAGATATAGACACAGGGGGAGATCTTCAAAAGCACTTCAGGGGTTTAGGAGCACCAGCCCCATTGATTTTCAGCAAGACGCACTCCTAAATTCCACAGGCGCTTTTGAAGTACAACCTTGTTGTATGTGCTTGGGCTTGTATGTCTGGAGCAGGGTGTCCACTGGCATCAAGATGCTAAACAAACAGCCCTCCCTTCCTATCGCAGCCCATAGGGCCTGCACAGCCAACATTTCCAATGCAATCAGGAGACCAGCAACCCTTCAGGCCTCTGCTGTCCCTTCACACCTCTCCTCCTGTCTCTTTCTCTCTCCTATGCCTTTCTCACAGTAGTGGTGACACTAGAACCTTGCGAAGGGGCCGACACCTACGTCAATGGCAAAAAAGTGATGGAACCCAGTGTCCTGCGATCTGGTAGGTCCTGCTTCGGAGGGAGTGATTGACTCAGCACTGACAGAATGCTTTAACCACTGACCCACATAGATCCCCTTCTAGAAACATACCAGGTCACCCTGTTGGGCAGATGGTGGTTCTAGTCTAGTGGCATCAGTGGAGTGACAGTGGGGGATAGTCAGTGCGGCTACTCATGCTCAAATGCTCTGTTGAATCAGGGCATAAGTCATGGGACATGAGAGGCCTTGTTGGGGGAAATCCTGCTGTGCAACCCTTGCCACTGAGTTGGAGTTTCTGCTTATAGTGGAGACCTCATTGGTTAACTCTGAACTGCCCTCCCCAAAGGAAACCGGATCATCATGGGGAAGAGCCACGTGTTCCGATTCAACCACCCTGAGCAGGCTCGCCAGGAGCGGGAGCGGACCCCATGTGCAGAGACCCCCGCAGAGCCAGTGGACTGGGCGTTCGCGCAGCGAGAGCTGCTGGAGAAACAAGGCATTGACATGAAGCAGGAGATGGAGCAGAGGTGAGGAGGCATGGGGGAGGCAGAGGAGATGAGGGATCATGGAGGGAGGGCAACATGGAGAGGTGGAGCAGAAGGGAAGGAAATGGGGTGCCAGCCAGTAACTGTGGATCTGTCCAGGTTTGTCATTCTGTCCTTCCTAATTCTTCACAGGCTTCAGGAACTGGAGGACCAATACCGCAAAGAGAGAGAAGAGGCCAACTATCTTCTTGAGCAGCAGAGGCTGGTAGGCACATATATTCTGCTTCTTAACTGGTTCATCAGAGCAACACTAGTTACCGTCAAGGCACAGACTGGGGTTGAGTCTCTAGTTTGAACAATGGATGGTGTGCTGACATGAGTAGGGTGGATCTGCATCTTCTGAAGATACTACCCAGAATGGAAATATCATGTGTCTCCTCATCTAATGGGACCTTTTAGACCAGTGAACACAGCTGTGGGTAGGTTGGCTTTCTACAGGGGGTGGAGCCATTTGTCAGTTTTATGGGGATTGAGAGAGACCTGGTACAGGAGAGGGGTGGTCAAAATCAAAAAGACAATTGTTTGTGGGTTATTTCCTTATTTTCCCCCCTTTCCCTCAGGACTATGAGAGTAAACTAGAGGCTTTACAGAAGCAGATGGACTCCAGGTATTATCCTGAGGCCAATGAGGAAGAGGAAGAGCCTGAAGATGAAGGTAAAAGTTCAGTGAAAGCAGAGAGTGACAAATTGTGTGAGAGAGAATGAGCCTTTTATAGTTTTGTTGGCCAATGACACTTCCTAATGACTCTGGTCTGTTACGATGAAAGTCCGGAAGGTTATCCAGGTGTATTGGCAGAAGACTCTCTCTTATCATAAGAATGGCCCATCTAGCCCAGTATCCTGTCTTCCGACAGTTGCCAGTGCCAGGTGCCCCAGAGGGAATGAACAGAAAAGGTAATCATCAAGTGATGATGTGGAAAAAGCTGAAGTACTCAATATTTTTTTTGCCTCAGTCTTCACAGACAAGGTCAGCTTCCAGATTGCTGCACTGGGCAACACAGTATGGGGAGTAGGTGAGCAGTCCTCAGTGGTGAAAGAAGAGGTTAAGGACTATTTAGAAAAGCTGAACATGCACAAGTCTATGGGTCCAGATCTAACCCAATTGGCTGACGTGATTGCAGAGCCATTGGCCATTATCTTTGAAAATTCGTGGCGATTGGGGGAGGTCCCAGACGCCTGGAAAAAGGCAAATATAGTGCCCATATTTTAAAAAGGGAAGAAAGAGAACCTGGGGAACTGCAGACCGGTCAGCCTTACTTCAGTCCCCAGCAAAATCATGGAGCAGGTCCTCAAGGAATCCATTTTGAAGCACTTGGAGGAAAGGAGGGTGATCAGGAACAGTCAACATGGATTCACCAAGGGCATGTCGTGCCTGACCAACCTGATTGCCTTCTATGATGAGATAACTGGCTCTGTGGATATGGAGAAAATGGTGGATGTGATATATCTTGACTTTAGCAAAGGTTTTGATATGGTCTCCCACAGTATTCTTGCCAGAAAGTTTCAAGCGGAGTGCTCAAGGGGTCAGTCATCTTTATTAATGATCTTCCATATGAGGAAAGGTTAATAAGACTGGGACTTTTCAGCTTGGAAAGAGACGGCTAAGGGGAGATATGATTGAGGTCTATAAAATTATGACTGGTGTAGAGAAAGTAGATAAGGAAGTGTTGTTTACTACTTCTCATAACACAAGAACTAGGGGTCACCTAATGCAATTAATAGGCAGCAGGTTTAAAATAAATAAAAGGAAGTATTCCTTCACACAACACACAGTCAACCTGTGGAACTCTTTGCCAGAGGATGTTGTGAAGGCCAAGATCATAACAGGGTTCAAAAAAGAACTAGATAAATTCATGGAGAATAGGTCCATCAATGACTATTAGCCAGGATGGGCAGGAATGGTGTCCCTAGCCTCTGTTTGCCAGAAGCTACAGGGAATGAGCTATGATTCTATCACTTAGAATCATAGAATCATCGAATATTAGGGTTGGAAGAGACCTCAGGAGGTCATCTAGTCCAATCCCCTGCTCAAAGCAGGACCAACACCAACTAAATCAACCCAGCCAAGGCTTTGTCAAGCTGGGCTTTAAAAACCTCTAAGGATGGAGATTCCACCACCTCCCTAGGTAACCCATTCCAGTGCTTCACCACCCTCCTAGTGAAATAGTGTTTCCTAATATCCAACATAGACCTCCCACACTGTGGCTTGAGACCACTGCTACTTGTTCTGTCATCTGCCACCACTGAGAACAGCCGAGCTCCATCCTCTTTGGAACCCCACTTCAGGTAGTTGAAGGCTGCTATCAAATTCTCCCTCACTCTTCTCTTCTGCAGACTAAACAAGCCCAGTTCCCTCAGCCTCTCCACATAAGTCATGTGCCCCAGCCCCCTAATAATTTTCATTGCCCTCCACTGGACTCTCTCCAATTTGTCCACATCCCTTCTGTAGTGGGGGGACCAAAACTGGACACAATACTCCAGGTGTGGCTTCACCAGTGCCGAATAGAGGGGAATAATCACTTCCCTCGATCTGCTGGCAATGCTCATACTAATACAGCCCAATATGCCATTGGCCTTCTTGGCAACGAGGGCACACTGCTGACTCATATCCAGCTTCTTGTCCACTGTAATTCCCAGGTCCTTTTCTACAGAACTGCTGCTCAGCCAGTCTGTCCCCAGCCTGTAGCGGGTGCATGGGATTCTTAATAGAATCATAGAATATCAGGGTTGGTAGGGACCTCAGGAGGTCATCTAGTCCAACCCCCTGCTCAAATCAGGACCAATCCCTAACTAAATCATCCCAGCCAGGGCTTTTTCAAGCCTGACCTTAAAAACCTCTAAGGATGGAGATTCCATCACCTCCCTAGGTAACCCATTCCAGTGCTTCACCACCCTCCTAGTGAAAATGTTTTTCCTTATATCCAACCTAAACCTCTCCCACTGCAACTTGAGACCATTACTCCTTGTTCTGTCATCTGCTACCACTGAGAACAGTCTAGATCCATCCTCTTTGGAACCCCCTTTCAGGTAGTTGAAAGCAGCTATCAAATCCCCCCTCATTCTTCTCTTCTGCAGACTAAATAAGCCCAGTTCCCTCAGCCTCTCCTCATGGCATGTGCTCCAGCCCCCTAATCATTTTTGTTGCCCTCCACTGGACTCTTTCCAATGTTTCCACATCCTTCTTGTAGTGTGGGGCCCAAAACTGGACACAGTACTCCAGATGAGGCCTCACCAATGTCGAATAGAGGGGAACGATCACGTCCCTCGATCTGCTGGCAATGCCCCTACATATACATCCCAAAATGCCATTGGCCTTCTTGGCAATAAGGGCACACTGTTGACTCATATCCAGCTTCTCGTCCACTGTAACCCCTAGGTCCTTTTCTACAGAACTGCTGCCTAGCCACTCGGTCTCTAGTCTGTAGCAGTGCATTGGATTCCTCCGTCCTAAGTGCAGGACTCTGCACTTGTCCTTGTTGAACCTCATCAGATTTCTTTTGGCCCAATCCTCGAGTTTGTCTAGGTCCCTCTGTATCCTATGCCTACCCTCCAGCGTATCTACCACTCCTCCTAGTTTAGTGTCATCTACAAACTTGCTGAGAGTGCAATCTACGCTATCCTCCAGATTATTAATGATCTGCAATTAATCCCATCAACCAGATCACTGATAAAAATGTTGAACAAAACCAGCCTCAGGACCGACCCCTGGGGCACTCGGCTTGATACCGGCTGCCAGCTAGACATCAAGCCATTGATCACTACCCACTGAGACTGACAATCTAGCCAGCTTTTTATCCACCTTATAGTCCATTCCTCCCATCCCTACTTTTTTAACTTGCTGGCAAGAATACTGTGGGACTATGTCCACTGTATTGCCTCGGTCCACATGCTTGTTCCCTCAAAGAATTCTAGTAGATTCATGAGGCATGATTCTTTTTCGAGTGATTGCTCATGTGTATTGCACCAAAGGTGTGCATGCTCGCCACATGCACCGGTTTCGGAAGTTTTTCCCTTAGCAGTACCCGTAGGGGAGGGTCCTTTGCGACCCCTGGAGTGGCACCTCTGTGGCACGGTACAAGGGGCGCTGCACGCTCCCCCCACCCTCAATTCCTACTTGCCACCAGTGAAGGTGCTTCGGAACTGCTCTGCTCCAGCTTTGCTGCAGATCGTCCCCAGAACTCTTGTTCATTCAGTGTATGTTACCTGCAGTTAGTATTTTGATTAATTTTAGTTTAGTTAGTTCATCCGGGGAGGGGCATGCCCCGCGCCCCAGGTTTTAAGTCGTGCAACACTTGTAGGTGACAGATGCCACTGAGTGAGCCGCACACAGACTGTTTGCTTACGCTGTTTGCGTGAAACCCATCTCAGCGATCGCTGCCAGATTTGCAAGTCGTTTAAGCCTCAGACTGAGAGAGAGAGAGAGAGACATTAGGTTTCAGGCCATCCTGATGGAGTCGGCGTTGATCCCGACTCTGGCGCGCCGCTCCGAGTCGGCACCGGGTACCACGGTGTCAGTACGCGGCGACCCACCGGCGCCATCTACCAGTCGGCTCCGTTCCCTGTCTGTGGGGCACACCAAGAAGGCTAAGAATAGGCCTTCTCCGCCGTGGCACCGGAGCAAGACTGGTGGAGAGGCAAGACCCATGTTGGGCAGTCCTCGGTCCCCGTCGGCCTCTAGGCCTCCGACTCAGGTCGAGCAGAGTAGCCTGGCCCGTTTGGAGCAGGCTTCCCCAGATGTCTGGATGCCCTCCACTCCAGAAGCCCTGCAAGCGGCTCAGGATGTTATGTCCATGCCGGTACCAGGAGCACCGCCAATGTTGGCCCCGTGGTCCAGAGGCAAGCCGCTGCTGGGATCTCCACAGTCGCTCCCGACTCGGTACCGTTCTCAGTCGAGGGAATGTTCCCAATGCTGTTCACCGCTCAGCGACCATCCTGTGAGTAGTCCATGCAGGTCACTGTCGACCCCCACTAGGTTGTCTGGCTGGGTTCCGTCTGACAGAGACTCCAGGCACCGCTCTGCCTCAAGGAGCGGATACCGACAGGACCGAGGCAGACAATGCCGAAGGTCCTCTTCTCAAAAGGGCTATCATAGTCAGTCACAACACGAATGTTGACACCGTTCTCGTTCATTGTCTCGCTCCAGGACCCTGCCACAGCCCTGCTTCCTTAGCCTTGGGCGCCGATTGCCGTCGTGGATCCTCCCGCTGGAGCCTATTGCAGAGCAACTGCTACCGGCAGTACCATTCCTCCACGTCGGGGTCGCGGTCTCGTGGTCAGCACCACTCCTGGCACCGCCACTCCTCCTGGTCCAGGGACAGCAGCAGGTCGTACATCAACCCAGCCTCCCTTCGTAGTCGTCCATTGATGGGTCAGGCCAGCCAGACCGAACAGCCTGCTCCGCCAGTGCCACAGCAGGTGCACTGGCACTGGGCCCCGTGGCCAGCACAGTGGTACCAGTGGGCACCGTGGGCCCTGACACAACCCCCGTGGGGTTTGCTCAGTGGCTGGAGCCTCAAAAGGGCCATCAGCCTCCCTCTCCCGGCCTCCAAGGAAGGAGTCAGTGGGACGTGCATCTTTGGCGCCATGCCCGGAGAGCGACCAGGGGGTGGATCCTCCGGTGCCGGTGGACACACAAAATACTGCACCTACCTCCTC